ATCTTCTAATGAACTTTATCAGTGAAAAGAAGGAAAAGATTATTTTATATCCGTCTAGTATTCCTGACTTTCTTAAATGCAAAGACTTTTATTAGCAGAATGTCTCTCAGGGCACCCTGGGCTGCATGGTTAAAAAATCTCTACTGTCTTGTCTTTCCTAAAAAAGCTGTACTAAATCATGATCTGGCAAAAGTAAGCTCAATTCTCTACAGCACTGCATTTGAATCTCTTAACTGACTTTGATGAAAAGACCCACCCAGACCTACAGTGCTGACACTGAACAATAACTTGCACTTCGTGCTCTAAGTAGATGTCTGGGTCCAAATCCTATGCCAGTGAACACTGTTCTCTACTACTGACTTCATCGTGAATGAATCAAATTTCTTTTCATGGGACTATGGTGCCTTTTTTTACTTAATGATGTGTTGGACACACTAAAGGAACTGAACTGAATTACTTCTCAGCTACAGTTTGGAGCCCTTTATTGATGAAAATGTTAATTTCTTTTTGCAAAGATAAAGTGTCAGCCATTATGACAGCGAAGTAATGCACTCCTTATTCATGAAAGTCCTCTGAGGGGACTTTGTCTAACACTTAATTTCTCATTCATAGCTTATGCTGGAAACCTTCCACCTGTACCTGAGAGCTTTCACGCAGAATGACTCACTGGGTAACAGCCAACTACTGTACATCAACTGACTTGGCTGCAAGTTTTCCCTATCTGTAGCCTGAGCCAGTGGGAGAAACAAGGGAATGTAGGAAGCCTTCAACGTTCTTAGGAGACATTTTTGGTATTGATGCCAAATTCTCAGCACTCGTGTTTATTCTCTTCTTTTCAAAGAACCAAGCATTTTCCTAATACTCTACTCAATATTTACTTCCTGTGAACACAACTATTACTCCTATTTGCAGATGGCTGTCTGCAGATGGCCTGAGGAAGGCATGGTTATTTATGTCAGTGTAGCTTGTTTGGTGTTACTCACATGCTATTACACATTGACATTAATAGCTAGTTGAAGCTCCAGTAGTATCCAATTTTTTAAAAACTTCATTAAAAATGGAATTGCTGCTTAAACATTTAGGAACTAAAACAAATGTTAATCCGAAAGAGAAGCAAACAGCTTCAGACAAAGCAGAACTAACAAAAGCCTGATTCCCTATGGATCCACTTCCTACAATAGGACAGGCACCCAAACCAGCTTCCATGAAGAACCTCAGGAGTAACAAAGTATGAGTTCATCCCAAAACTTTGCACTCTGTCCCTTCTAACTACCTGTCTGTTTTCATTAAATATGTAGGAATGTGTTATCTTCGAGATTTCTGTGCACTGTAAGTGACCATTGGCTCTAAAACTGTGAGGAAAGCACAGAGGGCTAGTGTGATTACCTAAACCTTGGCTCTTTATGAAGACAGTCTAGAAAACAAAGAAAGAAAAAACAGACTAAGTAGATAATAGATTAAACAAACAAAAGCAAATCCCTACGCACCAATATCATTACAGCAGCTACAGAATTTCTAGAGAAACATCCATCAGAAGCTTAAAACTAATTCTTTGTGTTCGATCCACAGAACTTGCTTTTCCCAGCTCTGACAGGTGAAAGGAGGTGGCTGCCTCGAAAACCAGTGTAGACTAAAGAGCTCAAGGATAGGGGCTTGCTGATGAAGGAAGAAATGATACAGAAAACATCTGGGCTTTGTTTGGAACAATCTCTTTTCTGCAAGGGGAGAAAGCAACCATTTCCAGAGGGAGAACAAAGCTGTTCAAAGAATTTTAGCAAGGCATTGGGCTTCATCTTTAAAAGCAATCTTACACCAGCTTTGCAGCTTCTTATCATCTAGTATGAGTGTTTGATATTGCCCTGTCTTGTTCCCCACGCTGCACTCTATCTTCATGCCGTATCAGCGGCCCATTGCTTTTTCTCTCACTCCTGCTCAGACACTCTTACCTCGAAGTAGCCACCCTCTGCTCCCATCCCAGGCTTCTACCTATGCACATCTTGCACAAGTACAATCCATGTGCACTGGTATACTGGAAAACTGGCAAGAAGTGAAAGGTGGGGATGGTGTAACCAGAGGTCTTTCCAAATGCCTTTGATCACTTCTATGCTTACTGTAAGAAGAAAACAACTGTATATTGTTAAGTAACTATTATCACCTACATAAACACTGAAAACTGCATATCAGCTATTATAACTACTTTCGGTTATGTATGCAATTTCCTGAGAGCATCTCCTCTCACTGAGGCTGAAAATACAAACAATGTGGTTCCCTAAATGAAGCAAAATGACAATCTCAGTCAAAACATTCCACAGGAGGAATTTTGTTTTACTCAACAACCATCTACCTTTCTCTAATACGCATCTTCCCTTTTGCAACTCAAATCATTTATTTTCAGAAGATATTGCAGAATATGTTGCCTTTACTTTGCACCAACCTTTCAGGCGCTTGAAGGCTGCTATCTTCTCATTCCAGTCATAATTTCCTTTGAAGTAAACCAACCCAATTTATTCAATCTGTCCTCCTATGATGTGCTTTTCAGAACACAAACTATGCTCAGAACTCCTGTTCAGACTCTTGTCAGTTTGTCCACATGGTTTTTGGAGGAATGTATAAGAAAGGACTGAGGACTTAGTACGTCAGCTAGGGACTTACCCATAGCAAAGAGATAAGACTTGGCATCTTGCAAACTGTACTTGTAACCTTAATATCAGTACGGCACTTGCCTTCTCAAAGCTCTGCTAATCTATCTTGAATTTCTGTTCATTCATCACCAGACTTCTCCTGGGAATTGACTATGTAACAATTACCCTGAGTCAGGACTATTGAAGAACCTCCTCCAAACATAGTCCAGTAGATTTTCTCTTGTTGAATTCAGCCAACATTTTTCCAGTTTCTGCTTTAAAGCAAACAAATTCATTCTCTGCTCTCCAAGATACTGGTGGCCCTTTCCAGTTGTGTTGTCTGGAAATTAATTCAGTTTCCACTGAGTTTGCAGGTATGCTAGTGAAAACATCAAACAGAACTGAACGTGGATGCTAGCAGATGCTAACTACAGTGTAACTCAAGGAAGGTTGTCCATGGCTTTGAAGACTAAAGCAATGTAGAGCCTGCGATATTGCAGTGCTACACCTCTCCCCTCCATATGCCTGTCCCATACTCCTGCTCTCCCTCTTGGCAGCTCCAGTGAAAACGATCTGGATCCCTTCACTTGACCAACTCCTCCTGCACTCACAGGACAATGAGAATTTGGGAGGGCCTGGGGGCAGCTAAATTATTACCCTCTCTGCAAGTCCAGTAACAACTCCTCACACGCATTCAGAAAGTTATACATTTCAAGCTGTTTGGAATTCCACGTCCAAACGACATTCAAATTCCCAGGTCAGCTCCATGTGGCCTCCTGCCATCTGAACTGTCCACATGCTCAGCCCACTTTTTATCAGTCCCTCAGGAGCCTCATGTTCTTCTCAGCACACAGAGACTGTTGCTGCCACTGCTGCCATTACCAGTGACAGCTTCCCACCATTTTTTTGACACCACATGTATCACTTGCATCACACTGACATTTTGTCTCCTCCCACTGGAGAAGAAACCACCACATACAGAAAATACTTAGATAAATCTACTTGTCTATGCTATGCTTCCTAGCTCACTCACATACACATTAAGTGTGATAGCACATACTCTGTGATATCCATCACGAGAGAATCACTGGGGATTAAAACTTGCTAACTTTCTTCATCATTTAGTGTGAAAGTAGTTATTTTCATCACTTCACGGGCAGACTTTATACATTATCAGACACCTTCTTCATATCCTGTGATGTGAATTTTGACATGAAAAAGAATCAACAAGAAAAGTCTCTGCCCCACAGATTTCTCCTAAGCAGCAACTACTCAGTGAACTTGGACAGATACTGCAACCCAAGAAGGGTGACAAACTGTTACGCAAAATTCACTTCAAAATTTATTTCATTCCATCAGAGATGGAAAAGGAAAAATAAGCAGCAGCTCACTGAGCACGTTCCCCTGCAAGAATCTATGTTCTGTGAATACAGTTCTGAAGACAAGTCTAGAATGATGATTTAGAAACTGAGTGATCTGGTATTTTTCATGATGAGCAACTACTACCAAAAATGCAACTGCGAAATGTACAGATTCTTTCAAATATATTCATTTTGTAAACGTTCATATTTTCATTGCACAGGTTGGGTAGGTGTTTGCCATATCACAGAATCATAGAATGGTGTGGGTTGGAAGGGACCTTTAAAATCATCCAATTCCACCCCCCCCCCCCCGCTATAGGCAGGGACACCTTCCTCTAAGACCAGGTTGCTCAAAGCCCCGTCCAGCCTGGTCTTGAATGCCTCCAGAGAGGGGTCATCCACAACCTCACAATGCAATCTATTCCATGTAGCTAAGGTAAAATCTTAGTTTGTTTTTCAAACTGTGCACATTTCCACAAAACGTAATTACATTTTAAACTCTAAAAATCAAGATGCATCTCCTATCTAATAATCATCCCATATAAGTTTTACTGAAAAAATGTTTCTTTCATACTATATTATGTCCATTCTCAAGTTATATTGTACGAAGATTTTGAATTGTAACTAAATGATAGCAATGAATAAGAAATTAGGAACAATTCAATTATCAGTAATAGCTGTAGATGAACATTTTGATCCTCTAATTCCTCCTATACTTATTAATAAGCTTTAATAAAAGCAAGGAGTGAAATTCATTAATAAAGCTAATCTTAAATGATTACTATATTAGACCAAAAAAGTACTGAATATGGCCACATACATTTGCAGTTAAACCATGCTGTAATTTAGAATTTAAAAATTATCTATTTTTATTCCCAACTAATTAATTCCCCAACTAATTCGTTAAATGCTGTGACAGCTACTTCAATCCTCCAAAATTATAAAGTAAATTTAGGAATTACCACGTCAGAAGTAGTCACGATAGTATGAAGTATAACAAAAGAAATGCAGATCTCACCTTCACATACTGGGCAGCACTCTCCTGGTACTTTGACAGGATTCAAACAGCTCTGCCCACAGGCTGTAGCAACACAGTGAGGATCTCCATTGATACACTGGCAGAAAGTACAGTCATCCTCCCTCCAGCGGTCTCCATGAGCTTGGATCTGACCATTGGCGTAACAGCCAGCAGGATTATTTACAGGGTAAACTGGGTCTGAAATAAGAGAAATTGCAACAGAACAAGAAATATTACATTTCTTCTTATGCCTAAATATAATGTATGAATAGCTTCAGTGTCATGATTCTGTATTATTTAAAAAGAGTTACGTGAAGACACTACCAAACAGAAAGAATCATGCTGTGGCATACAGAGATACAATAATATATGCAACAACATAAGATATGCCAATATTGAAATTTACTGTTGAAAATGTTAAGTCAGCTTATACTGAACATTCATAAACTCAGTGCCCTATTTTAAAAGATTTCCACTAAAATTTTGTTTTTAACAAGCAGATCGAGAAAAGGAAAATGTACCTACAGATGGCTGGATTATATTATTTATGATGTTTAGTTTTTGGATTTTCCGATTTCTTTTCCAAAACAAAATGTATCATAGATCTACTGATCTTTCTCTTTTCTTTTCTTTTTCTTTTTTTTTTTTTTTTTTTTAACTTCACAGATTCTATAGGAAAACTGTAAACATTTCAACAAAACTAATCATATATAAGTGAGAAATTTGAGTTGGAAGACTTGGGATTCCCAATGTATTTTGCTAATTGAGATGTCACTGCTAAGTTTACTTTTAACCACACAGACCAAGAATGCATCACAGGCCTTTTTCTATGCTGTGGCCATACCCTGACCCGCAGTAGGGCAAGATCCAAGTGTACAGCGCCAGCCCTCATCTTCCTCCCCCAGAATCCTGTTTGTATTCTGGCTGACGATGTGTCAAATATTTTCCAGTATAAGCAAGAGGGTCAATGTGAAATTTCCCACAGGATTTTTTTTAGGAGGACTGCAGGCCTAACAAGCAGATGAGCAGGCTGTCAACAGGGTAAGGGAGGAACAGAAAAACACTGAAGCCAGATTACTGCCCAGGTTCTTTGCTATAATTGTAAACACTGCTCAGCTGAACAGAGAGCAGTAAGTGGAAAAAGCAGGCTGCAAAGCCATAGATACAATCAGAGACACACTGCTGCTGTTTTGGAGCATAGTGATGGCTAAATTATTAGCTAAATGAGTAATTTCTGCTGCAGAAATTAGGAACGGCTTTTATATAACATTTGGGAAGAAGGCATCCAAAAGGTACAGCACACATGACCATGTCTAAGATCATATCAAGAAACGTAAAAGAAAAACCAAATTAAGAAGGAGTTGACAAACTTTAGAACAACAACATGGAACACTTCTTCACTCATTTTCAATGAAAGGACAAAATAAAAAAAGCAGCAGACAAAAAAAAAGGATTGAAAAGATACTGTACCTTCACATACTGGGCAGCACTCTCCCTCTGGGACATAATACCTGTCACAGTGTAGCTCACCACACTGGGCAGAGAAGCAAATAGACACACCACCTTGACACCGACAGAAGCGACAAGCATCCATTCGAAACATGTCTCCATCATAGTATTCCATGCTGTTAAATATGCAAGTTGGTTTCACTTCTGAAAGAAGAAGAAAAAAACAAGTCAGGATTTTTACAGACACTATTAAAATGGTAAAGAGTTAAACTCATTTTTCTACTGACAAAACCAGATAGAAGGAAACCACTAACTTTTCCTTCATTAAAAAAAAAATCTATGTTTTCTTTTAACTACACAGTATATGTTATTCTCTGTTTAAACAACAGAAGAAATACTATCCAGATTTATTTTTAGAGCAGCTAGTTATTAACAATTATAATTCTAATTTATTAAAAAGTAAAATACTGAAGGAAAGTCATTTTCTTTATTGGTTGTAAATCTTTTTCATTCTGGATGAGTTAGAAGCTATTTCAAATTTCAGCAAATGAAGCAATACCTTTTTTTTTTAATATATATTTTAAAAATTGAGTTTCTGATGTTTTTTAAGAGCAATTTCTTTCTACAGGATTCTGATACACAGGTGGCTAAATTGCCTTAGAGCTGTCCAGTACATAATGAGCTTTCTGTTGTTGTTTTCTTCTTGTTGTTGTTAGTTCATGAGAAAAATATGTATGTATTCCAGGACTGCATGATATGAATTCCAAACACTTCCTAGTTCAATCAAACTGGAGCCCTACTAGTCATCTCACTGCTGTACTCCTCACATAAAATAATCACCATTGTAATGACCATTATCTGGTCATTTGGTGTTCTTAAAAACAGCAAGTCTGTTTTGACTATTTCTTGTACAGCAGAACCCTAACTTATGATTCAGTCCAAACTGACGGGGAAACTGAAAGCCTCTAAAAATTCCTAAATATTTGGGATATGACTTGAAGGACATGTTCAGTTCAGCCAGCTACAGATGCACACACTGTGCTGTACAGCTGAATCACAGAAGAGTTTTGACTCTGTAGAACAAATACAATTATAACATACCACATTCTATACCACATTAGTCATTAGGAAGTCATGACTTCACAGTTTTATCATTATATTACTCACTGAAGCTTCCTTTCTCTTTTCCATTATGGAATAACTTAAAATTCTCGATCTTTTCTGAAACTTGCCCGAGACACTTGAGAACAGATACCTGAAGTGTTCACTAAGCAGATGTATTTGTTCAGTAGTTATGAATCTATCATTTTCAAAACCAAAACATCTGAGTTAAAGGAAGCAACTTGTTTCAGACACAAAGTCAAAATTAAAAAGCAGGCAATTGCATACATTGTTGAATTCCGCAGACTACACGGAAGACTGTTTGCTCACTCACATGCATAAAGCAGACACATGAAGGTGATAATTATAACTGCTTTGAGGTTAGGTTTTCTATTGCTGTTCTTAGTACTCAATCTCACATGGGAGATCAAAATATTTAAATAAAAATCCAGGATTTGCTGAATCTTCTTAATTTTGGAGTCTGAAGACTTTTCATATAGGTCATTCTTGACGTTAATGTAGGGTTTCTTCAAAATTCTGAAGTGTCTCAGTGACCTCAGTAGTTCCCTGCACTCACACTTATGCTGAGCTCCAGTCTCAAGTCATTTAATATGACTAAAATGTTAGAGTTGAAACTTGGAATTATCCTGAGCAATCTTTGATTTTTACATGCCTCTTCAGTCTTCAAGGCATAATGTAGAAAGCAGTGTTAAAAAAAAAAAAAAAAAAGAAAAAAAAAAAGAAAAAAAAAGAGTAAAAAGAGGAAATACCACTGTGTCCGGGAAAACAGCTATGACCTCATTAGAAAGCTATTCACATAAACAAACACTTGAAAAATATTTCAAGTTTATGTAGCTCAAGCTGTTAGTCTAAAAACCTTCTTAAAAAGGAAAAAGTGCCAAGAACTTAGAAGGCATTTAAATCCATTTGTTCCTGACTTTACTATTTTGATTGCAGCTTTCTAGATTTTTTTTGCTTTTTCTTTACTTTTCTCCTCCCCTCCTTCTAAAAGTAGATCTCAATTTCTGCCTAGTTTGGAAAGTAGATACATCTTCCATGAATTATCATTCATTTTTAAAATGTCCAAACAACAGTAAGCAAGAAACTGTAACTCCTGAGAGGAAACAATCTATTTTATTCTTACAATGAAAAATGCTATAAAATGTCATTGTGTGTATATTTTTACAAACAAGATTTATGGTAGTGTACGTGTATTCACACTGAACTACTGAGCTACCCATATGCATTCAGCTATAAGACAAGGATTATTGTTGCTAGATCTGTGCACTCTAAGGATTCAGTCAAGCTAGAACAAACATAATAAGAACTCCAGGTTTAGATACAAAAGTGAAAGTCTAATAAAAAAATCCAACAGCATTTGAACCAACACATTCCTTTTAGTGGGGTATGTTGGAAGATACTCAGAGTTCTCTCACTTGTTTTTGTTTAAAATAGTGGTAATTTTATTGCTTTACTGACCAACATATAATAGCCATGACAGAATGAACGAGTATAAAGCTATCATTAAATAAACACAACCTTTTCTGAAAGGCTGGCAACCATGAGTTTATTATTCGAGCATGGGAGAAAATGCTGCATATAAAATTCTTCAAGAACCAAACTTCCCCATGTGACAAAACAGTTACAACAGACTGAAGCGCACAGCATCAAGCAGTCAAGTGTACCTGCAAACTGAAATCCCTTTTCTGATACCAACTACCAAATGACACAGTAGGTATGAGACAGCTGCCCAGACCATGGATTCATGAAGCTGATTTCAGCATTTGCCAGCTATCAGTTAGCCTATGACAGAAGATCTAGTCTGGGCACAGACAGTTAGCCACAAACCTGTGGAAGGAGCCAGAGCAGAGCAGACATGACCCAGCACAATGAAGTGTTCCGGCTGGCTTTACACTGACTGTGATGGGACAGATATCAGATCTGTGCTACAATATCAAGTTATGCATGACTAAGAGGGCACAGCTGACTCAATATTGAAGTTCCTGCTCCACAGTTAAATCAAGGAGAACTCTGGCATAAATTTTGCTCTAGAGATTGCTTCAGTGGGCACCATCCTTTATATTCTGAGTCCTGCAAGAGTTCCTATAGTCAAAGCTGCACTGAGACATGCAGACTTGTGCTACGTGGACACAGAAAGTGCTCATTTCTGAAGACCTTTATCTTCAAACTGCAGACATAATTTTTTTTTTTTTTTTTTTTACCAAATCAGTTTTCTATGGTGTTTTACTTTGTACTCATAAATCTAATAAAGATCTAAAGGCTGGACTACTCCAAAACAAATTTGCTGCTACACAGACCTCTGTAGACTTCCTGTATTTTTGGTTATCTTTGTTTAAAGTTACAGAACAGCTCAGAAACATGCATGAGTTTTGCAATCCAGTCCTTGCTAGGCATTATTCTGCGCATGGTTATTTCAAGTGCACAAGATGCTCAGGCATCAACTCTCTCTAGGCAAGTTTGGGCATTTTCTTCTAGCCCATCTGAAGAAGAACAGAGATTCAAAACAATTTTCTGTTGTGTAAAGGACGAAAAGATTTGTAGTTGCAGCACTTTGGACATTCTTTCAGTATACAGAAGAATTTGTACCAGACTCCTGGAAGGAATTGGTGCAAGTGCTGTGAACTTTCCATTAAATGAAAGGGAAGGAAGCTGACAAACTTCAGCCCTGTGTCAATATAAACAAAATACTGAAAAACTTTCTGTTTTTCAAAAGTTCAGCTGATAAGGAGTTTAGAAAATAAAAGGAGAAACTTCAGTTGAATTAGTTCATAGAATGTAAAAAGGCAACACATTGTATCTTTTGTTTACCTGCAAACATAACTAAGCAAGCCAGGTGGAAGAAAATATTTGGCTTCTTACTCTTTGAACTTTAGTACTCTGTGCAATGTATTCCCTGTTAACACATCTGTGGAACCACTCAGCAAAGTCCTTTAGTCTTGCATCTAGGAACACCAATCAGGACTAAGACAAACCTGTTAACTATTATTTATGAGTCAGTGTAATTATTTATACATGCTTTTATGTAATTATTTGAAGGAAAGAAACATTATTTTGTTTCTTGTTATTTTGTTGCATCTGCAGACTGTGAAAGAAAAGGACACTGAGACGTAATAACCATAGAAAACTGCAACACTGAAAAATTCACATTTAAACCAAATCGAAAAATTTAGATTTACATAGTGAAGTTTCTAGTACAGGAAGTCTGTATCATCCCACTAGAAACCACTTACATATCCAGATGCCTTAAGCTATACACAGTGCCTATCTCCATCAACGGTTTTCTACTACTGTCTACCTCACCAGCAGACTCCACTCCAGTAACGCAGCAACTTCTTCAGAGGAAAGACAGTTGCACAGGCTGATACTGATGCCCTTTTTTTTTTTTTTTCTTCTTTTCACACTAGACAAGACCTTATGGCACTGCCTTTAGAGAAGGAAAACTTATTTTCAAGTCACCATGCAGGGAGGAGAGAAGAGCACAGAAAGATACTACAACAGAAACAACTACAACAGAAGCAGCTCCACCTAACACCTTCCCAGTCTTGCCTTTTCTTTAAGCCCATCAGTAACTAAGAAACTGCAAACTACCAAAGAATACCACAGTTCAGCTACAGCTACAAAGTTCAAATTGCAGCAAGAGTAATTCAGGTTAGACAGAACACACACAAAAAACGTAACTTATCCAAGTTTCATTACTTTTCCCATCTCCAAAACTGCCGGGTATATATAAATGCTTCCTATTATTTTTTCCCAAACTGCAAATTTGCTTTTAAGTGGACTGATCCTGGGTTTTTCCATCTCCACCTCCTCTTGAGGCTTAAATGCATACATTCCTTTCAGTTTTTATTTTTGCTGTATGACTTTATGCTTCTAAATGTCTGATTGTTGGCTTTCCTCTAGGCTGTCTTCCTTTTATCTATATATCCTTCCAGAAAAAAATCTTTTTAGCATCATGCAGTAAGCTGAAGATGTAGCACAGAAATCCACCTGGACAGCCAAAGGAGGAGCTGGGGCCACCAAGCGCTGTGGCAGTACTCTAAAATCTCCTTGTTGAGCCAAATTTTGTATATAAAATTGCCAAGCAACTCCTGGAAACAAACCATGCCCTATGTAACAGAGGAATACAATTAAATATCAGTACTCTCTGTCAATCTACCAAACTAGAAAGTACATGCTGTAATCTGTTTAGCTCTAGGCATGTCAGTAGGACACAAGCACCTGCAAAAATCTCACCACCGTTGAAAGAACTGCTGTAGCTCATCATTCATCACAAGCCCACCTGTGATCTGCCTCCAATGCATGAGAGAAGTTTAAAATTGCAGGAAAAAGACCCAAATCAGTTAACACAAGGTTGTGGTTTGCCATTTTAGCTAAATAATAATGCTTAGCAGTAGGTTTTCTGCAAAGTAAGAAACCTGAAAAAAAAAAAACAACAAAAATGCACCCTACAACTACTGAGCCTGTTTTCAAAAAGATATGAAGATAACCTTCCTTTAGTATTAATGTTCCATTTATTACTTACTTAAGTTTGTTGCCTTTTGCTCCCCACAAGCCACATTTTGCATCTTGCCATTCCTTACTGATTATGCATATTTTCAAAATAAGAATCCTTTGCATTTTGACTCCAATCCTATTTTTTGTACCATTTCTTCTCCAGTAATGCCTTATCCAAAATAATCCATTCTGCACTACCCATACTATCACTTCAGCAATGTAAATTTTCTACTCACTTTTTAAAGAACAGTACTAATTTCCATTAATACCATTTTTTTTTTTTTTCATTCTTCATTTTCCATAGGATCCTTCCTGCTCTTTGAGAACTTATTGAAGCTGCTTTCTTGGAGTCCAGGTATTATTTGGCTTCTCACTCCTGTTCTAGGAAAATCAAAACCTACCATTTCATAGTTAACTTCCATCTTTGCAATCTCATACAATCCCCACTACTTGTCAAGATCAAATCTAGAACATGTCCCTGTTTGGTTTTAGATGCCTGGAGAATAACATGCAGTTATATTTAATTAGGATCAGGATTATACTCAGTTCTCTGCTCTAGGGCAGACTCTACTATCTTGGTCAAATCTTTATTTCTTTGTCTATATGGAAAATAATATTTTCCTCTCGCATACATTTTTTGAGGCTTAGTATAGTGAATAATGGGATCCTACAACAAACTGATGTCTGTGGAGTGTTCCACTTGGATCCATCTATTTGTTGCAGTGAAAATGTTTCTGGCTGGCACCTGTCAAATGTTCTTAGCACTCACTGATGCACCCTTTAGAAAAAGGTGATTCATATTTCCCTTTATAAGTAATGGCACTACCTTTAACATTTTCCACACTGTGAGCTTAATAACAGAATAAGAAAGCCTGTGAGGAGTAATGGCATCAACAGGTGACAAGAAGTGTGATTAGTGAAGCTCTCCTCCACTGCGGTACCTCCTTTATAGAGCCAGAAGTGTGAAGGAAGCCAGGAGATACAGAATAAAAGAGAAATGGCTTGAATACATCAGTGATATCTTCTCAAATTTGGAAAAAAATTTACAGATGCCATCATAAAGCATAGGTTATATGTCACATTGAGTGAATGAGCTTGATGATTTAGGAGCTCACTTCCATGTTATCATGAGTAAAGCCTGGAAAAGCAAAATAGAAGGGGTCATAGTTTCCCTGTGGCAGTTGTCATCACTGTCAGCTTGTTATTTTGGGTCATGCACTAGGTACTTCCATTCTCAAGGGGAAGGGCAACAGAAGACTGGCCTTCTACTTCAAGGGCAATGAAGGAGCTGCAGGGCTTCTAAGCCACTCCTGGCAAAGCTGGGGCAGAAAGCAGCCTTCTCCCATCCACCTTGGAGCTCTTGGACACAGTAACTAGGCCCACTCTCACACAGGCAACCGAGTGTTTTTCATAAAGCCATCAGAGACCCTTTTAAAGTAGCTGCTGCATTCAAGGAAGCTTATTCAAAAGTGAAAGCCCTGTCTGACAGAAGAAAGCAGCTGCAGGATGCTTGGCAATTTGCTCTCTCAAATTTCTAAAGGCATAGCTCCCAGCCAGTATGTGCTACAGCACAACCTACATTCAAGAGGGCCATGCGTCAATACCTAATTAGAGAACAGGCATTTTGGATGCTCTCTTGTTTCCAAACACTTCCACTCTTGCTGCACATGTAGCCTTCAATCTATTTAGATTCATTTGTTGATGCTTGTAATTGAATGCTGAATCATTTTTTTCCTTACAGCCTCTCCCATGAGAGAAGGCAGTGCACCACTGCTAGCAGACAAAAATAAATGAGTCATAAAAGTTGAGTGGATCTGGAGAAACCTCAAATTCACTTCAGTAAAATGCAGGGTGAAGGAATCTCTTGCTCAATTTTCTTTCCAAATTATAACATGCTATCTAGTACGGTCTAGAAGGAAAGATTTGAATACCTGTTCATTAACTGTAATGGTAAATTATTTTAACCAAAGCAGTGTTTTAAAAAGTAGAAAAGATGTGTCCGGTCAAATCTTTATGTAAAATCTTCTGTTCTCTGCTTATATTGATGTCAATTAAAATCTCAGAAAGAAATATATGGAGCATCTCTCTGAAGCACATTTTGTGCACATTATCAACAAGAAAGCTGTTCAAAACACTTTCTAAATGCTGAACAGCCAAAGACTGTTGATGCAGTGTAACTTAATAATAAATTCTAATTTCATTAAATTGAAACATCAGAACTGTTTCCAAGCAGGAATAATATGTTTTGGTTAGAAATAATATTTACATGATTATGTGTCAGACTATAAGAAATAGGAGATTACATAGGATGAGGAACATGAAGGCACACCAATATAACAGGGCTGCTCTAAAAGTAATGCCTCCAATGTTGGCCCGCAACATCAGAAAAAGATATTGGTGGGTTGGCAGTAGAGGTTGAATGTTCACAACAATATTCCACTACATGTTGTTGCTGTGTGACAGACGACAGCAAAATGGCAGTCTGACAGAATGCTGTCTGACATGGAAGTGCATATGAAGTAAAAGGGTGTCACTGAGTTCCTCCATGTAGAAAAAATGCCACTCATTGACACACTTTGACACTTGCTGAACATTTATGGAGACAAAATCGTGGATGTGAACACAGTGAGGTGGTGGTGGTGTGCTTCAGCAGTGGTGACAGTGGGTCACCTCTGCTGGTACAGATTTTTGCATACAAGCTCTTGTTCATTGCTGGTGAAAATGCAAAGCTAATGGTGGTGGCTTTATTGAGAAATAGTATTTTGTAGCTAAGAATTTGTTCTATCAACTAGTGTTGTGCTCTTTGTATCTGTTGTAGTTTCCATGGAAATATATATTTTTCTGATGGATCGAGCTAGTGCTAGTTTGAGATAGCATGTACTTGTTACAAAGAGAACCACACAAGACCTACAAATCTGTTGTAGAACTTCCAAAACAGCTCAATATTACATATAGGAAAAGCTTTTGTCAAAAAAACACTGACCTGACTTCAAACGCTGACAAACAGCAAAGGCAATATGATGCTAACAGAGTCTCTATGTTATCTGTATTTTGCTGCCCTTATACCACCCTTCAACACCAGTCAGTTCTGCCTGGGGACAACCAACTCTTCCCTTTCCAGACAGCCTCCCCTCTCTCCACCACCCTATCCCATCCACACATACGAAGTACAGAAGGCTTGTGTGCTTTAATACTGTACATCATTAGTGTCACCTAATAACGCAATGCAGTTACACCACCTACACTAACTAGGTTTTTTTTGTTTTTTTTTTCAATTTCCAGACTATGTGAAGATATTCCTTCATGTCAAGGTAATTCAGAGGATCAGTACTGATGATCCCGACAGCTTTCTATTCTCCTAATTATATCATTAAATAGATATTATAACAACAGGAAAACTGTATAAGAATATTCTTATGTGTAAACATCAGAAACATTCTCCTAGAGGAGTGTCTATATTAGATATGTACACATTATGTGCATATGCAGTAAAGAATGCAAAAATAGTTTTAAGAATGTCATCACACACAATGGAACAATATTAAATAACACTTAATAAACATTTAAGTATATAAAATAAATAATAAGTAAATATTTAACCAACATGTAATTTTTTTATGCTCAGAAATTATCTGAGCATGCAGCCTTTCAAGAACCTTTTTCTCCAACAGCTGAATACTTGTCTCTTCCAACTCACCACACACAACTCTGAGCAATCCTGAGATTTGCATAACAAATCAAAAATAACAAATGTGCTTAACAAATTTAAGTTCTTTAAGTAATTTTTTCTAAATATTTCCATCAGGAAGGAAAAAAAAAAATAAAAAAAAATAGAATCAGTCTATTCCTGTACTGAATTGTAATTTCCAAGGGTTTTACACTTGTGCTAAAAGTTACTGTGTTTATTTAAAGTGTTTTTTTTAGAGGGAACCCAACAGTCTAAACAGCTCTTCTTTACAACACTGCAAGAAGGAGATTCAATTCTTAGCGAAAAAAAAACCCAAACAAACCAACACTTTAAAAAGGATCTCACGCTTGTAACTGGCAAAAAAGCACCTGGAAAACACACAGTGAGGGAGCTTTTCACTAAAATTCTAACTCCTTGGGTTTAGAGAGAAAAAAATACTTTAGAATTAAAGAAACATGACACAACTTACAATGGACATTTTCCCACTATAAACCTTCAATTAAACTTCCAGTTTCTTCTTAGTGAATGAACTCAAAGAAAATTATGTCTCTCAAATCTTGACAATATAGTATGAATAACCATATTCCCAGATTCTCCCAAAGACACAAGATCCTCCTCTCCAGGTACAAGAGAAAACTTCACGTACCATTGACACACTCAAAGACATCACAGCACTTGCCAGGTGTTCCATCTCCACGTGAAACTATTTGAGGAACGGAGCCTGCCTCGCACATGGGGAAACCACATAAACCAGAGAGACACTCGCATCTGAAACCAAAGAAAAGGAAGAAAACCCCATCAATGAATAGATTCACACATAAGTGGGAAGAATAAGGAAAGGGAAAATGAAAAGCTGTAGAATAAGTTTCAGTCTCAGTATATTCATATTTTAGAATCATCGTTTATTAATACAGTGACCAAGACCATTTATCAACATGAAGTGCATTTGGCAAGAGGGAGAGATGGAAGGGTGGCTTTTTGTTGTTGTTGTGTTTTGGGCTTTTTTTTTTTTTAAATGTTATAACTATCTGAACTCTGCTTGTCCAGCAAAGAAACAAAAAAGGTCGTATAGTACAACATCAAAACTTTAGTTGAATATTTCTCCAGATTGTTTAAAAATTGCTGAATTCTTTAATTTGAAAACTTATGCTTCTCCTTTTATTCTGTGAAAAACTGAAATTGATGAAATGCTAATAAGCAGTAACTGTACCTAGTCAGAAGAAACTGTGTCCTCTCATTAGGAAACTGTATTACAGCCAATTTTATATAAGGAATAATCAAAGAGAGGAAGATGTCATGGAGAATCATTACATCTAAGCCAAATGAAAATAATTGCAGGTTGTTGGTTTTTTTTTTTTTTTTTAAGGTGCTTCCTTTATCTGCAGAAGAGTAAATATTTAAATATTGTGGTTAGTTGATTGGATCATTTAAAAAACATTTTCTACCTGCAAATAATATTTCCCGAATTAAGAAATTATCTTAAAGAACTGGAGGACATAAAATGTATTAAACAGTAGTCACATTTGTTTCCAGATTCTCTATTTTATGTATACCATAAATGTTTAAAAGTCAAAGACTTAAGATGTACGCTGAGTTTACATTTAACAGTCCTTGCCCCAAACATTGGGCATACTAGTGGGATAAGCAGCAATGAGTCAATAAAAGTAGGAGATACAACAAACAGAGAAATATGCAAATATCATAGCCAAGTAATGTCGCAGTACAGAACTTAAATTTTTTAAATGCAGATGACAGAATTTTAAATTAAAAAGTGTAGATTAATTTAGCATTCTACAAATACACATGAGCTTCAAAAGGAAAAAAGAATTCAGAAGAAAATCCTTTAATTGTAAGTTAAAGAAATGAAAATAAGGACTCTATATATTACTATTTCAAATACATCTAAGTATTCTAAGACAATTCCGAAATTAAAACACTTTTTAGTAAGATACATTACTGGTGCAAAAAAAAAAAAACTTGCTTGTTTTTTTATCTTAAAAAGCAAGAAATTTGGTTCTCCTCTACCAAGCAGGGTTCAGTGAAAGAGGAAAAGACACCTCTCAATAGAAAAAGTTTTAACATTTCTTCCTTTAACTTCACTGGCATTAGAAAAATGTATTACTCTTCATTCTAAGGTATCAATGAAAGGAAATTTCCAAGTAATAAAGTAAAAGCTAGGTCAAGTGATCTCTCAGGACTTTTACTGTAATATCTGAAATGAGTTTTAAAATATTCTACTATAACAATGTGTTAGTGTAAGGGGATAAAAGACTCCTTGAAAAAGTAGAATTATTACACCACATTTCAAAATTCATTTCACAAATTCATCACATAAATAATTATCTGGTCATTAAATATGTCCAAATAAAGAGAAGTAGAATCAGAGAATCATAGAATCACAAGCACTGGAAAAGACTTCCAAGATCATCCAATCCAACCTACCACCTACCACCAATATTTCCCCATTAAACCATTTCCCTTAGTCCATCTAAATGTTTCTTGAACACCTCCAGGGACGGTGACTCAAATTCACATCAGCAGAGAAAATGGCAGACAAAATGGAAATACAGCTGTGGATCTTGACTTTTCAAGTCCTGTGACTTGGGCTCCTGTCCTTTGTCTCACACGTTATCATGAATGACTTGATTTCTGGGAGAATATTAAATGGTCAGGTTATTAGCTCATAGCTTCTTTTGTTCTCCCACCTTCTCAGTCAACTACTTTTAACAATAAACTGTCTAAAAACCACACAAACAAAAACCAAATCAACAAATAACTTACAGTAGACAATCTTCTAAAACATGAGCCAAAAAGATGCTTAGAAGATTATTGGGAGTCAACGTTCCTTTCTGCAGAAATGAATCCCTCCCACTGAGAATACTGAAAGTTTAGCATATTCATTCAAAAACAACAAAAAGGTTGCAGTAGTCTAATAAAAGAAGACACTACCCTCCAAAGTTTTCTAAGTTGACTTCCCATTTGGATAAAGAAAATCCATTCATGGGAGAATGTCAAAGCAGCAAATAGTCTCAGATGGACTTTTAAATACTATGCATTCTTTTACTTGCACTGCTAGGAAAATCTTTGACCATCTTCCAGGCTATTAGCATGGAAAACATTGTTTTGGAGACAGAAGTCTTTCAAGAAGAAACCCAAGGAATTCTGGTAGCTGAGCACAGTTGAAGCACTGCCAGAACAATAACATCTGGAAATCTTGAATAAGTGATCCAATTCTTAATAAGAGAGCAAAATCAGCTTTATACCACTAGATTTTTCTTTTTCTTTTCTGAAGAGTCTTTTAGAGAAGATAGATGGAAGTTTTATTCCAGCTTCGGCTTCATCACATGCAGCTATCCATGTGCACAGTTGTACCTTAGCCTAGTTACTGAGCATCAGGTTTGGAGGAAATTTAGTAGGCCAGACTGTGAAAAGTCTGTTGACAGTGGCCGCGATCCCTCACAAAGTAATTTCTATGAAATTCAGAAGTTCAGGCTGCTGATTTGTAAGGCACAGTGTTGCCTCTGAGCTTCTCTTTCTATAGTTATAAATTGCCTAAGGAATACACACACAGCATAAGTTTCTTTAAGGAAAGCTTCCACAAGAAATGGTAAGTTTACTTGTTGCTTTGTCTCTCAACACAGAATAGAATAATAGAATCACAGAATGGCTTGGGTTGGAAGGGACATCAAAGACTATTAAGCTCCAACCTCCCTTCAACAAGCAGGTTGCCAATTGCTAGATCAAGTACAAGATCAGGCTGCCCAGGCCTCATGCAACCTAGCTTTGAATACCTCCAGGGATGGGGCATCCACAGTCTCTCTGGGCAGCCTGTTCAAGCACCTTGTCACTCTCTCACCGCCCTGACATCTAATCTAAATCTTTCCTAGTTTAAATCATCTCCCCTCATCCATACCAAGAAGATGACATTCAGTATCTCACTGTCAAATACATTATTAGAGCAAAGGCTCTAAGCAAACACATTCCTCAGTATAGCAGCACATACCCTAATAGGAAATGTCAACAAGGAGGAATATGTCCTTTTAGTAAGTAAGAACAGTCCTACAAGAGAATACAGTCTAACAATAAGAGCCCAGAAAGAGAAAAAAAGAGAATCAAAGAATCATCCAAGAGAGATCACAGAGCACAACCTGAAAAGGTGGCAGAATGTCCAGGAAGGAACCAGAACGTAGCTCAGAAGTCAAAGGTACTGAATTTTGATGGAAAAACTGAAAAAATATAATTAATTTGACTGGTAAAAAGGAAATTTCTTCAGTTCTTCACGTTAAAAAAGAAAAAAAAAAAATCCTAGAAATTTCAAAAGCCAAGCAAAAGTAATTTCAGTAAATGAAGAGTATATAAAGGACTAATTTCAGTAAATAAAGACTACTCTCAAAATCCAACTGTGTTCATTAATGTTTTGCAGATAGAAAAAGAGCAGCTTCAGTAATACAAACAATCTATTTTTTTCATTTGAATTTCCTTCAGTTTTTAAAGTTCTTTCAGCAGAAATAATTTTGTCACTTGTTATTTTGTTTGGTTATTTGCCTTTTTTCTTCTTTTTGTCTTCATTTCTAACATCATTCTTTTTTTCCTTTTTTTTTTTGTCACCAGAATTTCAAACATGAACAAGAAAAATGAGGTATTTATAAATGACAATTTTTATTTAAAATCTAATTATCTGGTTCATTTAGTTCTGTTATTAAACAGATGAAAAGAGAGAAGGGCTTAGTAGCCTCAAAAAAGCTGTTTTGATGGTAGGATCAAAGAGATCATACCAAGCATAAGGCATAATGGCTATGAAAATAAGAACAGGCACTCCAAAAAAAAAAAAAGACATAATACCAGTGAATGGGGAGGTTGGACTGAGGGTAAGGTTAGGAGTGGGATATTTATTTTAAGGATCAAAACAAAATCAACTCTGATACTGGAGAAAATCAAGTGATACTGGAGAAAAGCATTCCTGATGCATACATCACATTCCTGTGGAGATCTTATCACAAGCCTCTTCTTTTTTCCCTGCAGGACTCTAAAACAATTTATGTTACCATAATTAGCACTTACGTTAGCTAAATGTACTGGAGAAAATTACCACAGATCTGTCAATAACACAAACAACTGAAAGATACTGTAAAGGAGGCAAGATTCAAAGAGAACTCTCAGCATTACCAAAGCTTGAGTAATTGGTGGCAGGAGAAAGAGATTAAACACAACACCCTCCCTAATGTTAAGCATAGGGCATAAGAGATGATGTGCAGCAAAAGGAAATACTAACATGGCAATCTCATGAAATCAGCAAAGGATTTCATCCATATTATTACACTTGGAGCCATGACATGAGTTTAGGAAAGACGCGAAGTTACAGCTCAACAAATCGACCAAATGCTAGCTTTAGGAAAGTTAACTCCACATAAGAAGTGACACTACAGGCAAAAATACAGCCATTTGGGCACCTCCTAATGTTCAGCTAGTAGTAGTAGTGTAGTAGGTTCAGCTAGAATTTTTTTAATCTTCAGACACGCAATAGAGAATTTTAGCCTACAAGTTCAGTCATTGCTTTATACAGTTTGCATTTCAGTTGAAAAGATAAGACTAAACACATCAGTAATGAAAACAGACCCTTTTTTAGATAGCTTTTAATTTTAAAATTTATTTTTATTTTTTATTTCTAGATAGTATTTTTTTTTGGAGATCACTAATAAACCTGCAAATGAACTGCAGAAGGAACATATGACACTTATGACTGGACCACTCCCAAATGCTCAAAAAAT